TAGAATAGAATAGAATAGAATAGAATAGAATAGAATAGAATAGAATAATAGAGTTGGAAGGGACCTTGGAGGTCTTCTAGTCCAACCCCCTGCTTAGGCAGGAAACCCTACACCACTTCAGACAAACGGTTATCCAACATCTTCTTAAAAACTTCCAGTGTTGGAGCATTCACAACTTCTGCAGGCAAGTTGTTCTACTTATTAATTGTTCTGTCAGGAAATTTCTCCTTAGTTCTAAGATGCTTCTCTCCTTGATTAGTTTTTTCTCCCAAGCGGGATGAGCTTTGCTCATGAAAAAGTCTTCCAAAAAAGAAATATATTCATTTATTGTTACTTATTTATTTGTTAAATGCCACCTATCGCACCTTAGTCTGCCTGTCTCTAGGCCAGTGTTTGTCAACCTTGGCCGCTGGACGATGCGTGGACTTCAACTCCCAGCAGAGCTGGCTGGGGAATTCTGGGAGTTGAAGTCCACACATCGTCCAGCGGCCAAGGTTGAGAAACACTGCTCTAGGCAATCTATAATACAATAATTTATAATTATGGTAATTATAAAATACAATAACGTATGTATGAGACACTCATTTATATCTTACTTTTCATTTAAGAGTTCAAAGTGCCCTATGTCCCGCTCCCTTTTTTTCTACTGTTCTTAACAACAACCCTGCGAAGTAGACTGGGTTGAGTAGGAATGACTGAGCCAAAAGTACCCCACTATACAGGTAATCCTCAACTTGTAACAGTTCCTTTAGTGACCATTCAAAGTTACGATGGCGCTAGAAAAAAGTGACTTATGATCGTTTTTCACACTTACGACCTTTGCAGCACCCCCCACCCCATCGTCACACAATCAAAATTCAGACGTTTGGCAACTGGTTCATACTTATGACGGTTGCAGCATCCCAAGGTCATGTGATCCCCTTTTTGCGACCTTCTGACGAGCAAAGTCAATGGGGAATCCAGATTCCCTTAACAACTGGGTTACTAACTTAACAAATGCAATGATTCACTTAACAACTGTGGCAGGAAAAGCCGTAAAATGGGGCACTTAACAAATGTTTCACTTAGCAACGTAAATTTGGGGCTCAGCTGTGGTCATAACTCGAGGACTACCTGGAGTAAATTTCTTATGAAACGGGTGAATTAGAATCTGGGTCTCTTTAGTGCTGGACCCACATTTTATGTGGTTAGGTGGTTAGGGACATGGTGGCGCAGTGGCTAAGACTCTGAGCAATGTTGATCGAAAGGTCGGCAGTTCATCGGTTCGAATCCCTACTGCCACATATAGGGGTGAGCTCCCGTGACTTGTCCCAGCTTCTGCCAACCTAGCAGCTCAAAAGCATGTAAAAAATGCAAGTAGAAAAATAAGGACCACCTTTGGTGGGAAGGTAACAGCGTTCCATGCACCTTTGGCGTTGAGTCATGCCGGCCACATGACCACGGAGACGTCTTCAGACAGCGCTGGCTCTTTGGCTTTGAAACGGAGATGGGCACCGCCCCCTAGAGTCGGGAACCACTAGCACATATGTGCGAGGGGAACCTTTACCTTTTACCTTAGGTGTATATGAGGAAAGGCCCTTGGCCTGGTCTCAAAAACAGAATCAGAAACAAAAAAGATGAGAAAAAAGGAACAATACAGCCAGCCCCTATTTTTATAGTTTCTCTGCCTTCCGCCTTCTCTCGTCTCTTTCCTTTGTGGCTGTTTTCTTTTCGATCAGAAGCCTGGGGGCGAGATTAGCTCAGGTGCTCTGAAAGCTTTTTTGGCTGCAGAGCAGAGGGGAAATGTCACCCGTCCGTAAAGGAGGAACATTCTTTCTTACACGCTCATCTGCACACGTGGGGAACAGTGGCAGGGTGTAATGTCCCCCCGGTGTCTGCAAGCCACCTTTTACTCTGGGTTGGTTCGCTTGAACCCACAATCATGTTGGCTCTTGGCATCATCCCAAATTGCAATCCAGAGAGTTGATAAAGTAGCTAACTGGTTGCTACTTACCAATTCCTTGCTCATTTAACACAGTTCCTCAAGGATGGCAGGGGTTGAAGAAGAGCCAGTTTTGGTGTAGTAGTTAAGGTGCTGTGAATTCTAGTCTCAGTTTTGATGTGAAAGCCAGCTGGGTGACTTTGGAACAATCTTCAAGAGACTGTGAGTTCTAGTCCTGCCTTAGGCATGAAAGACAGCTGGATGACTTTGGGCCAATCACGAGGAGACTGTGAGATCTAGTCCCGCCTTTAGGCATGAAAGCCAACTGGGTGACTTTGGGCCAATCACCAGGAGACTGTGAGTTCTAGTCCCGCCTTAGGCATGAAAGCCAACTTGGTGACTTTGGGCCAATCACCGGGAGACTGTGAGATCTAGTCCCGCCTTAGGCATGAAAGCCAACTGGGTGACTTTGAGCCAATCACCGGGAGACTGTGAGATCTAGTCCCGCCTTAGGCATGAAGCCAACTGGGTGACTTTGGGCCAATCACCAGGAGACTGTGAGTTCTAGTCCCGCCTTAGGCATGAAAGCCAACTGGGTGACTTTGGGCCAATCACCAGGAGACTGTGAGATCTAGTCCCGCCTTAGGCATGAAAGCCAACTGGGTGACTTTGAGCCAATCACGGGAGACTGTGAGATCTAGCCCGCCTTAGGCATGAAAGCCAACTGGGTGACTTTGGGCCAATCACCGGGAGACTGTGAGTTCTAGTCCCGCCTTAGGCATGAAAGCCAGCTGGGTGACTTTGGGCCAATCACCAGGAGACTGTGGGTCAATCCTAAAAGAAATCAGCCTTGATTCTTCTTTGGAAGGACAGATACTTTGGCCACATAGGAAAAAGAGAGGACTCACTGGAAAAGACCCTGATGTTGGGAAAGACTGAAGCCAAAAGGAGATGGGGAAGGCAAAGGATGAAGCAATTAGATAGTGTCATTGATGCAATGAACATGAATTTGGACAAACTCCAGGAGGCAGATTGGACCACTGGCATGCTGTGGTCCATGGGATGGTGAAGAGTTGGCCATGACTTAGCAACTGAATGATCAAAATTACAGGAAGGCAGATCCTAATGAAATTCTGGGGGAAATATTCTAGCAGTCTGATGGTGACATCAAATTGTTATAATTGTGATTGTCATTGTCATTGTCAAGTCCTTACCAAGGACCTGGGATAGGCAGATCTGGATGTTTGATGGTGTTGCAGATATTGTTGCAAGATGTAACCTGTTCCAAGTAAAGTTGCCTTCTGCAATTGATTGATGGCAAATTTGTCAATGCCAATGGTCTTCCAGTTGTTTGGGGATTGCACCCAAGGCACCTATTACTAATCGATATGACCCTTGCTTACCTTTGCCACAGTTGTTCTATTTCTATTTGTAGGTGTTCACATTTTGTTATCTTCTCCAGTTCATCATCATCATCAATCATATTGTTTAAAGTTCCAAGTTTATTCCTCGTGTTTTTGGAGTGACTTAAACAGGTTCAATATTTAAAATGATCTGATTCATATTATAATTTTTACAGTCCCAAATAAGATGGTGAATATCCTTACTTTGATTCACATGTAAAATGTAGTACAACACTTCCAGAAATGCTCAGAATAGCCCTTATTTCTCCTGAAATGTTAAAATGAAGTACTTTACACATTCCCAAATTTAGGCAACTCAAACCTTAGCTGTGTCCCTTGGAAGAGAGAGTCGTTAAGTGGAAAACTTATGGATGGATGAATGGATAGATTAGAATAGATAGATAATATAGATAGATAGATAGATAGATAGATAATAGATAGATAGATAGATAGATGATAGATAGATAGATAGAGATAGACAGATAGATAGATGATAGATGATGGATGGATGGATGGATGGATGTATAGATAATAGATAGATAGATAGATAGATAGATAGATAGATAGATAGATAGATATAGATGATATGAAGATATATCTATCCCTTTCCTTTCCTTTCCTTCCTCTGTTCTTTTGTTTCCTTTCCTTTCCTCTCCTTACATCTGATAGATAGATAATAGATGATAGATAAATATAGATAGATAGAGATGATAGATGATAGATATAGATAGATAGATAGATAGATAGATAGATAGATGATAGATAGATATAGATAGATAGATAGAGATAGATAGATGATAGATAGATAGATAGATAGATGATAGATGATAGATGATAGATGATAGATGATAGATGATAGATGATAGATAGATAGAGATAGATAGATGATAGATAGATAGATAGATAGATAGATAGATAGATAGATGATAGATAGATAGATATAGATAGATAGATAGATAGATAGAGATAGATAGATAGACAGATAGATAGATAGAGATAGATAGATAGATAGAGATAGATAGATATAGATAGATATAGATAGATAGATAGATATAGATAGATAGATAGATAGATAGATAGATATAGATAGATAGATAGATAGATAGATAGATAGATAGAGATAGATAGATAGATAGATAGATAGATAGATAGATAGATAGATAGATAGATAGATAGATATAGATAGACAGATAGAGGCTTGGTTTCCCATCACCAAATGTGTCCATACAGAATGAGGCCAGCCGTTTGTTGGGGACACTTCAATTTGGAGTGAGCAAAGAATGCATTCGACCGCCGTCCAGCTGCAGGAAAGTTACAACAGTGTGTATAGTATGGTGGCGCTCCCGGGCGCCAGGTTGCCTACCCTGGCGTAGTTACCGGCGGCTGGCCAAGTCCTACTTGGAACCACTCGGCGGCAATAGAGACTGGGGGGAAAAAAATAGCCGGGCGGGGCTTCCTTTGCGATCTGGAGACCGCTTAATTGCTTTGCGAATCGCGTGGGAGAAAATTGCCTGCTGGGTTTATTCACAAGAAAATTGAATTAAATCTCTCTCGGGCGGAGAAAAAGAGCGAGGTTTGTAGGAGGGCTTCCCAAGCTGCGTTCCTCTCTTTGCAGGAGGGGGAAAAATGCAACAGATGTTTATTATTATTATTATTATTATTATTATTATTATTATTATTATTATTATTATTATTATTATTATTATTATTATTATTATTATTATTATTATTTAATCTTTAGTGAGATTCACAGCCTTTGAGGCTGGTTAATAGCTCAGCAGCTCGAGTCCTAACAGGAACTGTTAAGGTATCGTCGGAGGATGTAAGCTGTTCCGAGTAAGGTAGGTTTTTGTAGAGTCAAAATGTTCAAGTCTGGCAAATTTAGAATTTCTAAATAGCGGGGTAGCCCTTTGGGTATTGCTCCAATTATTATTATTATTATTAATTATTATTAATTATTATATTATTATTATTATTATTATTATTATTATTATTATTATTATTATCGTTTTGTTCTTTTTGTTTTTCAAACGGGCTTCCTCCCTAATTCGTAGAATAGGGTCTTGGGTTGGCTGGCTGATGAATTTAGGCGTTTTCCGGATTTCCACAATATAAAACTCTTTTTCTATCATCACGGGGCTAAAAGAAAAACAATCGATATATAACTATATTAAGAATAGAGGTTAGGCTCAACGTGCATAATCCTGATACCCAAAGAACAAAGGGGAAGGTGTGGGGAATGTTATTATGAGCAGAACCAAAAATCAGGGGCTTCTTGTAAAAGTGCTGTCTTTGTTCCTTTGTCCAAAAAGGAAGGAAGGGGAAGGAAGGAAGGAAGGAAGGAAGGAAGGAAGGAAGGAAGGAAGGGGAGAGAGAGAGAGAGAGAGAGAGAGAGAGAGAGAGAGAGAGAGAGAGAGCCTGATGGGATTTGAACTGCCAAACTGCAGGCAGGCGGCAGTCAGCAGAAGTAGCCTGCAGTACTGCACTCTAACCACTGCTACCACAGCTCACCTTAATTACCTTTTAAGTTGCCCAGTTCTGAGTGACCATCTGTATGATACACCATATTATATGAAGTTCCATCTATGGGACCATATAGGATCCTTTTTTTCCTCTTATGCACATTGAAGGGTGTAATACTTCTTTTATTTGATATTTTGTTTGTATTCTGGCCTTAAGAGCTGTAATAAATTTGAATTTGACTCTTTTTTTTTTTTTTTGCAAAAAGTTTTTTTTTAATTTTTTTCCAACATACAAATTACATCTTTTCGGAACAGAGCTTTGATCCGGTCATCAATTTCTTCAATTTTTTGTCATCTTTAACAAAACTTTATATATTCTATTTTGCCATCACTTATTTCTTAATCTTAAATCACATATTTCAACTAATACCATCTTAGAAAAAAATTACCCATATTTACTTAATCAATATAATTACCCTTCTATTAATCCACTTTAAATCTTAATTCAATTAATACCTCATAATACATTTCATAATTCTTACTCTAAATCCTCACTATTAACAATACAATTCAAACATTTATATTTCAAAATTATTTCCATTTCTAAAACTTCCTTACATTTAGTTATTACTTCATGTAATGCTCATTAAATCTTTTTTTTTTTTGCAATTTTTTTTTTAACAAAAACAACATAAAAACATCAACCTTCCAAACTCTTACAGACAGTATTTCGATCAGTGAAAATCATTTCGTGCTCTCAAAATTTTCAAACTCTCGTTATATGACAGATATTCTTACCTCTAACAAAAAAAAACAAGTGCTTAAACATTTTATCCAAATTTCATTTCATATATAATATTTCATCTCCATACTTTATCTATCGTGTAATGCTCATTAAATCTTTATTCCATTATTATTTTATTAAATTTAAATCTTATCATTAATCTTAAAAATATAGCAATTTAACATTTAAACATAATTCTTAATTCAAATAATGCTATTTAATACAGTTTCCCTAAATTCTATCTATTTAACCATACCATTTATATAAACACCAGTTAAGTAATTGTTGTTTGTAAATCATAATCATATATTATTTCAATTTTCTTTTCTTTTTTGCTTAAGTGAAAAATGTTCAAATAATTAACAATTGTTATATGTATTTAAACAATATCCCAATTATTATAGCTATCAATTTTCTCAAATGAAATTTGAATTTGACTCTTTACTCCAAGGAGCTGGACGGTGCCAGGAGAAGCAAGAAGAAATCAGTGGGACTTTCCCGTCGCCCCCACGAGAGCAGGTGGCCGAGGTGTTTTTCCAGCACCAGGTGACGTAGGTGCTTTCCTTCCTCTAGGGGGCCATGGTTCACATGTGTTTGTGCCACACACAGGAAACCTGGAAGTGAAAATAAGAAAGCAAATTGGGCACAGATTAAGCTGTCTTCCTTCCGAATGCCAGCTGTGGGATTCAGCGTCCTCCTGCTGATGTTTTTTGCTCCTTTCCAGCCCATTCAAGGTACGATCTGCTCCCCTCCCTCCAAATCTCTGGAGGGGCTTGACTTCCATTTACAGTTACAGCGGGAGTTTTCAGAAAGGGCAACCATACCAGGAATGCATTTTCTCTTTTCGAAAGTCTCTGGATTCAGGGTGGCACCCGATTTGAGCAGCAGGAAGGGGTAGGAGGCTTTTTCAGACAAAGCCCAGGGGGGCACCCTGTACATCTCCCAAGTTCAGAGGGGAAAGAGGTGGTTTGAAATGGAGAATAGGGAAAATAGACTAAAATTGGCAGAGGGCCAGGTGCCTCGGTGTCCCATTGGCTTCCTGTGTTGGGAGTGGGACATTATAGCCCACCAGAGCAAGATCAAGTTCCTTCTCGTGATCTTTAACTGCTGAGGTAGATTGATAGTCATTTGTGTGTCGATTGTGCCTTTGACTCCGTGTTGTCCTAGTGACTGCCTGGAGTAATTCCTGAAGTTTTTTGGGCAAGCTTTGGGAAGTGCTTTGGCATTATCTTCTTCTTAGGGTTGAGAGAAAGTGACTGGCCCAGGATCAGTCCAGATGACTTTAAACCTAAAGCAGGACTAGGATTTCCCACTCTCTCTTATAGGAAAGAAAGTCAAGATGGGGGCAGACTTGAGTTTCTGTCTCATACTTTCTTATTTTCCCAGACAAAGTTCACATTTTCTCAACGTTTACCACCTATCTGTCAAAACTGACTAATTTTCATCTATATTCCCCTTTGCTCGCAGCTTCCCAAAGCATGGGAGGGGGGGTGGATTGGAATGCAGGAGGGGGGAATGGCCTCCAAGCATTGTTGGTTTTTTATTTTTATTTTTAAATTTGATTTATATGCCTCCCTTCTCCGGAGACTCAGGGCAGCTTACAATGCGTTAAGCAATAGCCTTCATACTTCTGTATATTTATACAAAGTCAGCTTATTGCCCCCCAAAACTGGGTCCTCATTTTACCTACCTTAGAAAGGATGGAAGGCTGAGTCAACCTTGAGCCTGGTGAGATTTGAACTTGCAGTAATTGCAGACAGCAGATGTAAGTGGATGTTAATAACAGTGCTTTAGTCTGCTGAGCCACCAGGCCCCCCTTGAGACATTGCTCCCCTCCTCAAGGACACCCAGAACAGATGCCACAGCGCAATCAGCCGGTCCCCAAAACAAAATGAACAGAAGTGATTGGTGGACATAATGGACTGCGGGGAAAGGGGGAATGAACGATAAGTGCGTTTATGCGGGAAGTCCAGAGCTGGTTTCGCTTCTTCTGTGCCAATGTGGATTTATTCAGTAAAGTTTATACTCTTGGTAAAATAATGTCCCAGGAGTGTTAAATTTATGTTTTACCCACAAAGAAATAAAGGGAGACTAGTATAGATCTGTTTCAAGCTATTTCCTCAGCTAGCCATGCCCTTCTGGGATTTGAACCAGGGTTGTTGAAATACCGTATTTTTCGGACTATTAAGACGCACCGGTGTATAAGACGCACCAAGATTTCAAAGAGGTAAGCAAGAAAAAAAAACTTTTGCCCTCCCCAGCCCCCAGGAGCACTCTGTAGGCCTCCCAAAGCCTCTGCGCGCCCTGTTTTTGCGACACACAGGGCTTCGGGAGGCCAAAAATGGTTGTATTCGGTGTATAAGACGCACCAACATTTCCACCCTCTTTTGGGGTGGGGGGAGTGTGTCTTATACTCCGAAAAGTATGGTAGATCTATACTAGTTGAAATAGATCTATACTAGATCTATACTACCTTTATTTCTTTTTTCGGTAAAACATAAATTTAACACAAAAATAGTTTGTCGTGAAAGTGACTGCCTGTGAAGGCTCCTGGATTGGGACCGAAAGGCGAAAGCGGGAGCAGTATGCTCCGTCCCATAATTGGGTAGACCAGGCTGCCCTGATAGACCAGTCCCACCGGAGAAGAAAAATTATCCCAGGAGTTTCTTTTTCTGGATTCGTCAACTGGAACAGTTGACAGGATCTTCTTCTCTGTCCTGTTCTATACCAACAAATTAGGAACGTGTCATCCCAAAACACAATGTTGGGGAAAGTTCCTAATTACAGGTAGTCCTTGACTTACAGACATATGCTTAGTGGCCATTTGAGGCTATAATAACACTGAAAAAAGTGACTTACACCCAGACTTATATTTAGATCCATCTCAGCGTCCCTATGGTCACATGATCAATATTGGAGTACTTAGCCCCTGGCATGTATTTATGACAGTTGCCGCCTCCCAGGGGGACAGGATTGCCATTTTGCAACCTTCCCAGCTGGCTACCAACAAGAAAGTCAACGGGGGAAGTCTGATCCGGTTCACAACCGCTTGATTCATTTAACAATGAAAGTGATTCATTTAAAAGTGACGACAAAATAGGTTATAAAGTCAGGCGCAACGCATTTAACAATCGCCTTGCTTAGGAATGGAAATTCGGATTTCAATTGTGATTGTAAATTGAGGGCTACCTGTAGTTTGTACCGAGGGGTGGGCTGCTGGGGGTTCGCAGGGGTTCGGGAGAACCTCTAGCTAAGATTCTGTGCAGTTCGGAGGACTTCCAAATCCCACTCCTGGCTGGCCCTGCCTCGCCCCACCCCCTCCCAGGAGTCCCCAGGTGGCCTGTTTTGGATGCAGGTAAGTGCAAGGCGCGTGCGGAGGCTTGGGGAAGGCAAAAAATGAGCCTACTGGAAGTTCGGGAAGGCCTGAAACGGGCCCATTTGCAGCCTCCAGAGGGCCTCCAGGGCCTGGGGAGGCTGTTTTCACCCTCCCAGAGGCTCGAGAAAAGCCTCCAGAGCCCGGGGAGGGCAAAAATGCCACCCTCCCGCCGGGCCACTCCCACCATGGCCACGCCCACCCACCACCCGAGCAGCGAACCCCTTGCTAAAAATTTTGAAGCCCACCCCTATTTGTACCCATGTGTGAATTGGAGGAAGAGGGAAAACCTGCTGTCCCCCAAATGTTCCACTCGATTGTACAATCCAGCCTTTGACTCAAGAAGAAATGAAACCTCTGGTTTTAATTTCTGACAGGTGAAGATCTCCGGCCGCCCCAGAACATCACTTTTGTCTCAAAGGATTACAGTCTGTTCGTGAAATGGTCGCCGCCTGATGGTTCCCCACCGGGAGTGTCTTATACTGTCCTTTGGATGTGAGCATCGAAAGAAAAGGATATTGGTTATGAGGGCCGGGGGCTCCAGTGGGTATATTGAGGCCGTATTGTGGGCCTTCCCCCCAAAGGGCTGCCCTGGTGCAACCTCCAGCCCATCTCAGAGACAGCAGGGACAAGAGATTGGCTGCTAGACCACAATGGGGGCATGTTGGATACTAACTTGCGGGCCTGGTAAACCAAAGAATGGTGATACCTTCACATGTTGTATGAACTCAGAGAATTGTGGTATCGTCAACAAACTGTTGTAAAACATATCATAGCTTAATGTACCACCCGGGGGCGGGGTTCCAAATCCCATCGCTACCGGTTCACTCATGCACGCTCGCGTATGGCACCTCCGTGCATGTGCAGAAGTGTCCAGGCAGGTGGGCGGAGCCTCCCACCACAACTGCCACCGGTTCGCCTGATCCAGTGTGAACCGGTAGCAACCCACCACTGGTATCACCTGATTTGGATATTACTTTAAAGTAAGCCAATCAATACAGTTTCTGTTATAACTCATAAAATAGCCTCCCTTTTAAATAGGCACTTGTCTGTCTGTCTGTCCATCCATCCATCTGTCTGTCCATCCATCCATCCATCTATCTACCTACCTACCCATCCATACACCCATCCATCCATCTGTCCATCCGTCCATCTATCTATCTATATCTATCTATCTATCTATCTATCTATCTATCTATCTATCTATCTCTATCATTCTATCTATCTATCATCTATCTCTATCTATCTATCCATCCATCCATCCATCCATCCATCCATCCATCCATCTATATATATCCATCTCTATCTATCTATCTACCATCCATTTACCCACCCACCCATCCATCCATATCTGTCTGTCTGTCTGTCTGTCTGTCTGTCTGTCTGTCTGTCTATCTATCTATCTGGCTATCTATCTATCTCATTACAGGAGGGCAGATGGTATGCAGAGTCTGGATCAAAAAAAGTCTAGATGGTGACCATAACCATGTTGCAATACATGTAAAAAAGGGGGGGCAAGGCTTTGATTGCATGGTTCTGGACACCATCTTGACTTTTTAAACCTTTTTTCATGGACAACCGTAGTGAGAGTCTTTTAAGACCCACCCTCTGCCATCCTGCAAGATTCAGAGTGGAAGAGAGAAATCACCGCACCCCACGTGAATGCAAAGCTTAGCTGGTCCTTCTGATTTCTTCCATTAGGGATCCTTTTGATCGTCATTGGGAGGAAGTGCAGCATTGCCGAAATATCACTGAAACCATTTGCAATATTACGTGTGTGTTTCAAGAACCAAGCAACCGATACTGGGTCAAGGTGGAAGCTCAGAGCAGAATCGGGGCTGGATTCAGCCCATCGGCACCTGAAATCATCGATTACATCCTTCAGGGTATGAGGATCCCACAGGTGTAGCTCTCCTCTTCCCAGGAAGCCAGGAAGTGCAGAAGGTGGTTTAATCCATGCTAGCAATTTCTGAAAAGGCAAATGCTGCTTTCTTTCAGGTTTGCTCAGGGCAAGGGGAAAAGGCACTTTGCACAACTATGATCAAGCTAGTTTCTGGAAGGGCTCATTTTCTTAGCTTGGCTTCATCTGGTGCAGGGGTCTGCAACCTTAAACACTCAAAGAGCCATTTGGACCCATTTCCCACAGAAAAGAAAACACCAGGAGCCACAAAACCCTTCCCGTGCCTGACTATTTCTTGAGCGGCCACAAAACTAGCATATGTAGTTGAATTAAACGTTCTGTTTTCTTCTGAAACTTTTCTTGGATTTATCCACGGTTGGCCTTGGCGGTTGTGACACATATTTTGAGTGACAGGGTGCTGCAGCAGAGGGTGAAAGAGGCACATGCCACAGGTTGCTGACCCCTGACCTAGTGTGATTAGCCACAAAAATTAGAGAAAGTCAAAATTAAAATCAAGTTTTTACCACAGGGTGTTAAGGCAACCACTAGGATAACAATGATGAGCCTGTTGTGTTTGACGTGTCCAAAATTCAGAAAACACCAACTTTGACACTGCTGGTGTATCTCTCTCTCTCACACACACACACACACAGACAGACAAAAGAGAAACGATTCGTAAGAAACTGTAATACGTTACATTAAATCAGGGGTGTCAAACTCGATTTCATTGAGGGCCGCATCAGGGTTGTGTTTGACCTTGGGGGAGGGGGAGGGGTGGGCGTGGTCAGGGTGGGCGTGGCCAGCTCGACATCACTCCTGTCGGGGATACCTGTGTTGGGCCAAGCACTCTGCCAGCGAAAACAGGCTCCCAAGCTCCGTTTTTGGCTGCCACGGCCTCCTGCACCCTCTGCCAGTGAAAACGGAGCTTGGGAGGGCCACAAGTGAAGAATGTGGCCATCAGCAAAGTAGGCAGGATTGCTAGGTGGTACAAGTTTTTTTTTTTAGTGGAATTAAAGAGAAAAAAACCAGGAGTGTCCAACCCTGACAAATTTAAGACTTGTGGACTTCAATTCCCAGAATTCCCCAGCACCATGGTTGGTTGGAGAATTCTGGGTGTTGAAGTCTACAGGTCTCAAAGATGCCACGGTTGGAAAACCCCAGGATAGATGGTGAACGACATGCATATAAGGTAGCTTCTGCAACCTTTCAACTTTATAGGACCTGAACACTTACAATTCTCGGTGATAGGAATTCTGGGAGTTGTATTCCTATTTCATCTGTAAGGCAGCCAGCTAGGAAAGGTTAGGCCAGGGGTCAGCAACCTGCGGCTCTGGAGCCGCATATGGCTCCTTGATACCTTTGCTGTGGCTCCGTGTCACCAGTCGGCTTCACAATTGATAGGGCTTTCGGTTAGGACAGGTAGAGGAAAAAGGATACCACTCTAGGAGGAGACTCTATGGTGGGGGAACTGGACTTCCGGTCGGCTTCAGAACTGAATGGGGGGCTTCCGGTTAGGACCTTTGTGGCTCTTTAAGTGTTTTAAGGTTGCCGACCCCTGGGTTAGGCTAAGGGAAATACGATGTTCTGCATTCAGGTTGTCCCAGGGAGATCATCTGTTCTTTCAGAAATTAGTGCAACCAGCTTATTTTGATAACTTGATATCAGGTTCCAAAAATTCAGAAAGACCTACAGAGTTACTTCTAATCAGTTTCCTTTATTGTTCCTGGCCTATAAACAAAATCTTGCCAAACTAAACCAACTATTTATATCATTAGACTTCTAGGGAAGAACTGTTTTGACTCTCTTCCTCCCAACCAAACTTGAGCCCCTCCTTTCTGGGAATCAAGACTACACTCCACTGCACCTGCCCTAACCATTTGCCTTATTTTTTTTTCAGTGCAACTTGCTCCTCCAGTTCTCAGAGCAAATTATACCAGAAATATCCTTGGCGTGAATGTTTCTTTCACCTACCCTTCTTGTATGAAGGACGTCTTTGAACATCTGACATATGATTTGGAGATTTGGAGAGTTGGATTCCAGGAATTGGAATTGGAGAATGATGTTACACTAATTTCTCCTCTCTTGCAGGTTTGCTTGGAAAATATTTCTTACATTTGTGTCCTGTCCTTCTTCCAAAGATCTTCAACTGAAGAAGCCTTTTTTCATCATGAAGTAAAATATAGAATCCTCTGCACATTCTTTGACCATATCTGCTATCTAACAATGGAGGGTTTGTTTAATTGTGAAGAGCTATATGGATTATTCAAGAATACTAAAAACAAAGCAAGATGAATTTGTTGCCACCTAGAAATCTAAGACATCAAAATAGATTTTGGTAAATGCCAGTATCTCCCTCTTAAGGCACCATGAGTAAGAAGATCCTCTGTCCAAAGTTGTCTGTCCTTTTGAAAGGTTATTTAGAAGCCTTCCTCTTTGGAGAGCAGTGTTAGGAAAGACCATTCTACCCACAACCTCCTTGTTATAAGACAGAGTCTATACATCTTTTTACGGACACGGTGGCTCAGTGGCTAAGACACTGAGTTTGTCAATCGAAAGGTCAGCAGTTCAGTGGTTTGAATCCCTAGTGCCGCATAACAGGGTGAGCTCCCGTTACTTGTCCCAGCTCCTGCCAACCTAGCAGTTCGAAAGCACGTAAAAAATGCAAGTAGAAAAATAGGGATCCCCTTTGGTGGGAAGGGAACAGCGTTCCATGCACCTTTGGTGTTGAATCAGGCCGGCCACATGACCACAGAGACATCTTTGAACAGCGCTGGCTCTTTGGCTTTGAAACAGAAAGGGGCACCAACCCCTAGAGTCAGGAACAACTAGCACATATGTGCGAGGGGAATCTTTACCTTTACCTTATACATCTTATTGACCTAAATCAGACTAATTCAGGAGGTTCCTGAATTGGGTTGGGAGAGCACTGGCGTAAAAAGATAATCTATGTGGTCCAGAGATATATTTAGAATGGATGTTCTTGAAACAGTCCCTTTCTCTCCCTTAATTAATTCAACAAAAAATCCGCTTAACTCAACCTTCCTAAATATGATGCTGTCTAAATATGTTAGGTTAGCATCTTTCTAAATTCCTGGGTTTACCTGCTAACTAGGAATTCTGGGACATGTATTCATTAAGCCTTCGTACCCTTAATAACCTGTAGTTATTAAACTTTTATGCCTGAAGAACATGAGAAGAGCCTTGCCCGAACAGTCCAACATTCTGTATTCCACAGGAACCAAGTAGATGCATCTGAGGAATTAACAAAAAAGATAGAATAGGGCAGGGGTGTCAAACTCAATTTCATTGAGGGTTGCATCAGGGTTGTGTTTGACCTCGGGGGGGGAGGCAGCTCAACATCACTCCTGTCGGGGGCACCTGTGGTGGCCCGAGCGCTCTGCCAGCAAAAACAGGCTCCCAAGCTCCGTTTTCAGCTGCTACGGCCTCCTGCAACCCTCTGCCAGTAAAAACAGAGCTCAGGAGGGCCTGAGGTTTGCAAGAGGCCGTGGCAGCTGAAAATGGAGCTTGAACAAGGAAAATCCGTATAAAATGGTATATCTAGCACCTGCAAGATTGGTGAAAATATATCTGAATTTAAGCCCTACGTGTTGGAAGTGTAATTACCACCAAGGTACCTTCTTTCATATGTGGTGGTTATGCCCCGAAGCGAAGAGGTATTGGAGCAAAATACAACATTAGATACAAGAATTAATTAACAGTAAAATTGAATTAATTCCGGAAACATTTCTCCTGGGTGTACTAAAAACCAAATACGACAAAAAAATAAAATACTTGATTTTACATCTACTTACAGCAGGGTTCCTGCTGGGTTCAAGTCTTTGCTTGCTTATTTTTCAGAAGACATTCGAGGACACTCACGAGCCTTCAGTGGAGATCAACACAACAGACTGGCTCTCTGGTGAACACTGTCTTCGTGCCCGAACATCCTTTAGAAATGGGGACAGGAAGCGAAGCAATTTTTCGGAACCACTTTGCCTGTGGTTGCATGAAGAAGGTGCAGGAGGAGTCAAAGGTCTGGAGCTCCATTTTCCCAGTGAACTTATTTATTTTTTATTTATTTAATTTGTCAAACATGTACGAGATAACAGGAATAAGTATAAACATGGATATGAATACAGGAAATGGGGACGAATAAATGGGGACAGTAGGACAGGGACTGAAGGCACGTTGGTGCGCTTATGCACGCCCCTTACAGACCTCTTAGGAATGGGGTGAGGTCAACAGTAGACAGTCTAAGGTTAAAGTTTTGGGAGTTTGGGGAAGTAACGACAGAGTCAGGGAGTGCATTCCAGGCATTGACCATTCTGTTGCTGAAGTTGTATTTTCTGCCTGGGGCTTTACACACACACCCTGGAGGCCGGAAAGAGCCAGTTTCCTGACTTCCGGTGGGCCTAGAAGGCTGAAAATCAGTTGGCTGGTGTGCGCATGTGCACTGAAGCTGAGCTAGGGCAATGCTCGCATACCCACAGATATGGCTCCGTATGCCACCTGTGGCACACATGCCATAGATTTGCCCTCACGGCTCTAGAGTGTTGGACTTCAGTGGCTACCTTCAGTTAACTTGGTAATTAACAATTCCAACTTCCTATCCATTGATATCTGAACAATGCATTTTAGTATCTCATAATTGCTTTTTTTTTCTTTTCCAGTAGGAAAATGGGAAAACGTTGCCATTCCTTTGCTTGCTATATTGGTTACCGGTGTTGTGATGCTTCTCTTCTTCTACTGGTACTACAAACACATGAGCGAGCAAGTTGAGATGCCTTCAGCTTTGGTATGGAAAGTATGAAAGGTTTCCGGGATGAATAGGGGGAAGTTGACTTCCATAACAGTGTGCATCTTTTCCTACACAGAGCCTGCACTGATCTGAGATTGATGTTACTTGCTTCTTGCTTAGAATTCAGTTACATGTTCTGTTAGACATGATCATAGCTAAGTTAAATATAGCAGCCACAAAACAGGTGGTAGAAGAAGAAGAAGAAGAAGAAGAAGAAGAAGAAGAAGAAGAAAGAAGAAGAAGAGAGGAAGAGGAAGAGGAAGAGGAAGAGGAAGAGGAAGAAGAAGAAGAAGAAGAAGAAGAAGAAGAAGAAGAAGAAGAAGAAGAAGAAGAAGAAGAAGAAGAAGAAGAAGACAGCTAGCAGAGGAAAGGGACCTAAGAAGCTTTCTTTAGTAACTAAAGGGAGTGACTATCTTTGAGAAACTGCCTGCATGACAGCCAGGACTCATCTCGGCCTTACCAACCATCATTTGTTCAGTGCAGAAGAAATAGCAGCAAGATTGATGACAAGAGATTGTGAGAGTTGTGCTTGAGAACATCTAGAAGGCACAAATTGATAACCTCTGTTGATTAAGCCATGATCCCAGAATTTGCTTGCCGGTCTCTTAGTCAAGTGTGCTGATGTTGAATAAGACAATTGATCAGCAATTCTTCCAAGAATTCAATTGTTTAATATATCCCATGATAAATATTGGCCTGCATTGTGGACAGATGTTTAATGTTATCAGTGTACAGTCCTTTGGAGACACCTCGTTCCCAGCCTTGTGCCCTGACACCTTTTTAACTAGAGGTTTTCTTCATCAGATGCTCTCTGTCACTGAGCAGGGTGAGCTTTGCTCATATAAATGGAATTCATAACTGGCATTTAGCAGCTGATGATCTTGGACTAATGACATCTGATGGCAATTATTCCAGTCTTGAGGGTATCTGGTTCCTATAAGGGGTGAAATCCAGCAGGTTCTGACAGGTTCTGGAGAACCGGTAGCGGAAATTTTGAGTAGTTCGGAGAACCGGCAAATAACCACCTCTGGCTGGCCCCAGAGTGGGGTGGGAATGGAGATTTTGCAATATCCTTCCCCTAGGAGTGGGGAGGGAATAGAGATTTTGCAGTATCCTTCCCGTGAAGCGGGGTGGGAATGGAGATTTTGCAATATCCTTCCCTTTCCATTCCCACCAAGCCATGCCCACAGAATCGGTAGGGAAAAAATTTGGATTTCACCCCTGGTTCCTATACAAGTTAAATTCACCCAGAGTTCCCCTCAAAGTCGCCCATTAGAAGGACCCCAGTGGCTTTAGCCTATATAGGAATCAGATTTATGGAGAATTCGGATTTAGCATGGTGTATTAATAAGTGCAAAGGTCAGTTTCAAATTAAAATGGGTTATTTAAAAAAAATCCAGTTATGATCTTTAAATGATTAACTGCATTCTCATGGTGCTATATCAGTTGTTCTGTCTAAACTGTGCACCCATTTAATCATGTAATCTTAGACTTGTTCCATTTTTTAAGCATGTTTCAGTAGCAACTTATATATATATTCTTTAACAGATGTTCTGAATTTTGTTTCATGAGCATTTCATTTGTTCGGATCTCTAAATAGGACATCTTTTTCTGGCTCTGTTTGAACTATGTTACTAAAAGATATTGAAACCAGTGAGAGAAATTCCTGAATTTTGACGCTCTTGCCTTATCTTGCTTGCCAGGGACTGTAATGCCAATAAAAAACAGAGAAGAGGGGACACCCTTCTCTTTTTGAATAATGCATTTTATGATAGAAATACCTTTACGATTATCTTAGCTTTGTGTCATTTGCAAATTCTCTGCATCCTTAAAAGAAAATCTCAGCACAATTCATCTTCTTCAAGATCACGGCTATAGAAATAAATTCCAAATTATCAAAAGCTTTCCCTGCATCAAGAGGGGCCTGGTGGCTCAGCAGACTAATAGCATTGTGATTAACACCAGCTGTCTGCAATTACTGTAAGTTCGAATCTCACCAGGCTCAAGGTTGAGTCAGTCTTCCATCCTTTCTAAGGTAGGTAAATTGAGGACCCAGTTTGTGGGGGCAATAAGCTGACTTTGTATAAATATACAAAAGTATGAAGGCTATTGTTTAACGCATTGTAAGCCGCCCTGAGTCTCCAGAGAAGGGCGGCATATAAATCAAATTTAAAAAAAAAAAATCATAGCTACTCCCCCCTTTTTCTGGCACCTGACATCTCTTCCAAGCTTTATTGTTTCACACCTATAGTCAAAACGCTGCTCTACTCAGGATTCTATGGTCAGAACCTACAATGTAATTTGTGAACAATTAGGGGGAGTAATTAGGGACGTGGTGGCTCAGTGGCTAAGCTGTTGAGCTTGTCGATCGAAAAGTCAGCAGTTCAGCAGTTCGAATCCCTGGTGCTGCATAACCGGGTGAGCTCCCATTACTTGTCCCAGCTTCTGCCAACCTAGCAGTTCGAAAGCACGTAAAAAATGCAAGTAGAAAAATAGGGACCACCTTTGGTGGGAGGGTAACAACATTCTGTGGGCCTTTGGTGTTTAGTCATGTCGGCCACATGACCACGGAGACGTCTTCAGACAGCGCTGGCTCTTTGGCTTTGAAACAGAGATGAGCCCCCTAGACTCAGGAACGACTAGCACATATGTGCGAGGGGAACCTATACCTTTAGGGGGAATAAATTACTGGTTTAGTTGCTGTCTTAAATAATTTCAGTTTAACTTCCAGATCGTGTTTTTGTTGAATGAGCTTAATGATACTTTTTTTCTAAATTTCAAGTCAAGTTTCTGATGTAGCTAATACAGATGTCCATTTATAATAAATCTGTGTTGATACGATAAGTTAAACAAAGCACAGCTTCTCAACAATCCTGTTGGTCTCCACCCATTCTTGTTAACTGTTCTTCTTACTTCCTGTTTCTCAGTTTTTAAAAATGAAAATGTCTCTCTCTTATTCCCCACTTCTCCCTTCCCAAATTAGGATTTTTCTAAGTACCAGCACCCAAAGAACCTGCTGAAATTTGATGAAAGGAAGTTGACCGAAAAAAATAACCACTTTATTCTGGAACAAAAAATTGCACCTGCCCTGTTAACTCTTTCAATGGATTCTTTATCAAAAGAAAGTGAAGAGAGCGATGACGATGAGGATGATAGTAGTAGCCGCATTCCTTACACTGAAACACTTCGATTCCAGAAGAACGATGAAAACTGCTCAAGAGTTGGCACCTTTCCAACATGTTACGACTCTTCTTCTGGATCTGGAGATTCTCAGCTAAGTGGAGAAAGCTGGCCAGCTGCAAGGACATCAAGGCCCTTTTTCACAGCAGAATGGATGACAACAGATGCTTCCTCTGGACTCTTAGAGAAGACTTTCCTTTCTGAGGACTCCATTATGGATGAATCGGTTAGCTTTGCTGATGACTTCTCAGCTGCCGGTAGAGAAGATCAAGAAATTACAAATAGAGATATCGACTTTTTGAACAAGTTAATGTTCTCAGAAAGTCACGACTTCCACTTTTCCACAGGTTTGGAAATCAGAACTGGAGGAGTCCAATGCAGAAGCATTTGTGCAAGTCTAAAAAACTCACAGACATCTCTTTGTAGTGAGCCCGAAGGGCAGGTTATAGATGAATGGAGATGTGAAAATGACTCTAGCAATTGTGAGGCTCACCAGCTGGAAAAATCTATGCTTGATGTATCTTGTAAAGACAGGGTTGAAAATGGAGAATGGGTTGAAAACAATACTCTGAAATCTACAGGCCACAATGATCAACCCAGACAAGGACATTACATTTCAAGAACCTGATGCCAGTTACTGGTATGTATTCTAAGAGTAGAGAATCTCTTACCATGATTTTTCTAAAAAGTTCCTTTGGTGAGAAGTTGCACTTTCAAAACCCCAGAAGAATTCTGTTCGGAATTGGAATGAACCAAAGAGGACATTCCTTCTATGTCTAGGTTGCCATATTCTTCCATTACATCTCATCTTTAAAAACAAAACAAAGCAAAACCGGAACAGGGGTTTTCATTGGTGATTTTGTCGTGGAAATTAGAATTTTCCTATGGAGAATTGGAATTCTTGGAAAAGTGAGTGTTCTTTCCCAACTGAATATTGGGATGTTCAGCTTAAAAATGTCTATCATATTTTGGATCTCCATATCCATTTCTCCATTTGTGAATAGTTGGATCTGTTTTCCCCATCTGAAATAGATGGGGAAAACAGTGAATTCCAATCAGAACCGTAACTAGTCGTTTACAGATTTCTTTAGTGTCCACAAATTGGTTTAAGCTTGCTGACACCGATATGTGAATAAATAACAGTTCAGTCTGGGATCAAGAATTGAGAACAAGAAATACAGAAGATTCTTGTGGAACTGTTAAGCATTGCATTATGGGAGCTAATCTAGACTGGTGCTGTTCTTTTAAGCTGAAAGGCCCACTTTCTAGAATTAAGGAAGGGATAAAGATAATCTCTCCCTCTTTAGAGAAAGTTCTTTCAACCGCACACTAGGCCCTGATAACTTTTTTTCATCAACTCGTTGCAAAGACAAGGGAAAAAAATATCAGATATGCTCTTTATTGTGCAATTGTCTGCACACAAACTTGGATCTAAGTTTATATTGAAGTGAACCACCAATAAAGGAAAATACCTGTAGCTCAGGATTGAAATGAGGGGGTCCTTGGTGCACTCTGAGCTTGCTTTTTTTTTCCTTGCAGGCATTTCATCACCCAATTAGATAACATCATCAGTGCTAGTCATGCTAGTGCTGCTAGATGCTAGTGATGCTATCACTGATGATGGTTTGGGCAATGAAATGCCTGCAAGAAAAAAAAAGCAAGCTCAGAGGGCAGCAAGGGCCCCCTAACTGTGAAGTATTTCAAACCAAGAGCCACTTTCAGATTCTAAATATTTTTATAGAATGTCTTTGTGTTATATGCCTTCATTTATATCTCATATTGAGATTGCCATGCTGTGTCTCTCATTGGTTGGGGCAACAAAATTCATGGACCATTGTAGTTCAGAGTTGAACTGTGGGCTCTTTGGTGCCCTCTGAGTTGATTGTTTTCTGCAGACATTTCATTACCAAACTAGGTAACATCATCAGTACTACGGCTAGTAGTGATGATGTTACCTAGTTTGCTAATGAAACTAGAAAACAACCAAGCTCAGAGAGCACCAAGGACCCCACAACTAAGGGTCCACTTTACTGACTTCTTTGCAGAACAGGTTTTTATTTATTTAATGTATTTATTTAGAAAATGTATAAGGCCGCCCAGTCCACTCGCTCTCAGTGACTCTGTGTGGCTTACAAAAAATAAAAATCCCCATATACAACAATAAAAACAATGACCTCTTTTACAATAAAAACAAAAGCCTCTTTGACAGCTTTTCTGCTCTGTCAAATTCATATCCCAATTTTAACTAAATGACCTGAATATAAAAATGATAATTGGTTTAGAGGCAGAAAGGGAGATGATTGGAGTTGTGTTCCTTTTCACAACAAAAAATTCTCTGCACATCCTAAGCATGGGACATACTTTGTCGAACACTTCTGTTTTTTCCAGCACTTTCTTGACTGACTATGCCAGAGGTCTCCAAACTTGGCAACTTTAAGCCTGGCGGACTTCAACTCCCAGAATTCTCCAGCCAGCTGGCTGGGGAATTCTGGGAGTTGAAGTCCGCCAGGCTTAAAGTTGCCCACCCCTGGACTATGCAGGGTTTCATGGTCCGTGATTGTTCTAAGAATACAAAGAAACAACCATGTATGCAGAGAGCCTTCCCTATATAAAGGTCATTTTTTTTTCTTGGAAAAAAGGAAGAATGGAAAGAAAGATGAACCATCTCTCCCATTGTTTCAGAAGTGAGGTAGATCTTTTTCTTGAGCAAGGATGCATTCTTAGCATTCCCTACAAGAGGTCTCTGCTCAGGGGTGGGCTTCAAAAATTTTAGCAAGGGGTTCCCTGCCCGGTTGCTGGGTTGGCATGGCTACGGTGGGCGTGGCCTAGTCAGCCTCCTGCACCACGGCGGAGAGGGGGTGTTTTTGCCCTCCCTAGGCTCCAGAGGCTTCCTTCGAGCCTCTGGGAGGGCGAAAACGGCCTCCCCAGGCTCCGGAGGCCCTCTGGAGGCTGGAACCGGCCTTCCCGAACTTCTGGTAGGCCTGTTTTTCACCGTCCCTGAGCCTCCGCGCGCACACTGCGCTTACCTGCATCCAAAACGGGCCACATGGGGACTCCTGGGAGGGGCGGGGCAGGGTAGGCGGGGCCAGCCAGGAGTGGGATTTGGGAGTTCCCCGAACTGCACAGAATCTTAGCTAGAGGTTCTCCTGAACCCCTGCGAACCCCCAGCAGCCCACCCCTGTCTCCGCTCATGGCAAAGACCCAGAAGATAGCCTTGGTTAGATCCGTGGAGAAAAGAGATTGCATTCCTATCTGAGACTATTTAAGGCCTTATTGGTCAATCCACCTGGTGCTATAGTTAAACCAGGGTGTTCAACTTAGACAACTTTAAGAGTTGTGGACTTCAACTCCCAGAATTCCCCAGCCAGCCCCTCCCAGAATTCTGGGAGTTGAAGTCCACAAGTCTGAAAGTTGCCAAGCTTGAAGAAGCTTTGTCAGGGGGTGTCAGGGTGTGATTTCATCCAATGTTAATTCCTGTTGTAACCTAGGAGGTGATTTTGATCAGTTTAGAATACACCGGATGCTCCTCTTGCTCATGTCTCAAGGGGAGACACCCTTTCCTTATCTAAAACTGCTTTTCAGCGTCTCTTTTAATTCTTCCTCACCAAGCTGAAGTCATGGGAAATCACCATCCTTACCTGTCTTCCTTTATTGGGTGTCTACTAGAAGTTTTGATCTCTCAAAGTTCCCCAATTAACCTGTCTAAGAGAGTCAGAGGATACCAGGTTGGAGACGTGGCCCCATACGCACTTACGACATTTTAACAGAGTTTACTTAAGGGATTTTATTGCAATAAAATTTTACGTGCAAATACGTATTTCAGCTAACTCTTGAAATCCCTCTTATTGACAGTATTGGCTTGCTTCACTGGAGCAACAGTTTCTTCCTACATGAATAGGCTGGCAACTACCCTTTGTATCTTAAACAAGACAGTATTATTAAGTTAACCAAACCTAAGTTCATTGATAAATACGACTGCAACTAGAACTCTGCATGGACTTTCCAAATGTTGGGATCAAGACATGAGTACAGTCTAAAGCAGCGTTTCTCAACCTTGGCCATTGTAGGACTCCAACACTGGAGCTCCAACACTGGAGGACAATCATTTGTCTGAAATGACATTGGGTTTCCTGCTTAAGCAGAAGTTTGCACTAGAAGACCTCCAAGATTCCAATTCTATTATTTTGTTAAGACTTTGACTTCCACAGCAAGGCTGGCTGGGAAATTCTGGGAGTTGAAGTCCACATATCTTAAAGTGGCCAAGGTTGAGAAAACACAGGTCTAAAGGGAAGTGTTGGTCTTGGGAGGCATTAGACTAGCTTTACCTACCGTGTTTGTTTCCCCAAAAATAAGACCCTGTCTTATATTTTTTTGAACCCTGAAAATAAGGGCTTGGCCTTATTGCCATGCGCTCAAAAGCCTGATTGGGCTTATTATCAGGGGATGCCTTATTATGGGAGAAACAGGGTATTGATTTTGAAGAAAGTATTCAGAGGGACAGGCTCCCTTTAGGGGGAAATTCAAAAAAATTCAACAAAGCCCTACCCTTTTTATCTAGGTGCAATGTAGGTGCTTCCATAAATTCCATAATTTCATATTTTGTGCTCATGAATATAACTTGGTGAACAAACTGCCCAAATTAATTTTCTAAAATGCATTAAAAAGACTCCTGCACACTAACGGGAGTTCTTTGAGCAAGTTGATTTGAAATAAAAGAGTCCTCATAATTGCAGTGATTTATTTTTGTACATCTTTCTTCTTGTTTACGTATACACACTTTTTTGTGTGTATACATCATTGTATTGTTAATTGTACTGTTTATAAATACAAATTTTAAAATGCATAGGTGTGTTTATATTTGTGTGTGTGTTTGGGTGTGTTTATTGTCATTATTTATTTATTTATTTATTTATTTATTTATTTATTTATTTATTTATTATATTTCTATACTGCCTTTCTCCCGTAGGACTCAAGGCGGTGTACAACTAAGAAAAAATGTAGACATACAAACATCATAAAATTGCTAATTAAAGTTATTACTTAGTTTGGTTAATTAAATAAAACCTAGAATTAGATAACATTTTAAAAAATCATTCACATGTTCATGTATTTAGCCCCGCCTGTTGGAACATCAGGGTCTTGAGGGCATGGCGGAAAGCACGGAGATCAGGGATATTCCGTATCTCCAGGGGCAGTTCATTCCAAAGGGTTGGAGCCCTCACAGAGAAGGCCCTCCCCCTGGGAGTCGCCAGTCGGCATAATTTGACTGACGGTACTCTGAGTAGTCCCTCCCTGTGAGAACGAACTGGTCGGTGGGAGGCTATTGGTGGCAAAAGACGGTCTCGTAGGTACCCAGGTCCTAAGCCATGGAGCGCTTTAAAGGTGATGACTAACACCTTGAATCGCACCCGGAAGATCACCGGGAGCCAGTGCATCTCGCGCAGGAGAGGTGTTACATGGGCGCAACGAGTTGCGCCCATAATAACCCGTGCGGATACATTCATTATCCCAAAGCAGGTCAGAGTAGGATAAAGTCCTTTTCATTGAAGGCTATGGTCCATAATCTACCATGCTGGCCCAGAACAGATTGCAGATAGTCCTCGATTTACGGTCATAAGTCATGACAGTCATTAAGCATGACTGTGCCTGATTTTATTTCCTTTTCTGCAGGGGTCTTTAAGAGACTAACGATCACCTGCAGTAGATGTGTATTATTCCATTTCCCAACTTGGGACTAGGAGAGAACAACTGTGTTTAAGGGAGGACTAGAACTCAGTTGTCTCTGTTCCTAATCCAGCATCTTAACCAACACCCAGTGCAGGTTGTGGGACTGAAAAGACTGAGCTGGCCAGATTTCCCCCACCCCCACTATCTGTCACTTGAACCTGGGTCTCCCCTCCCTTAATTCCACACCTTCATTGCTACACTTCTCCTGTGTGTGTCATAATTTCAGATCAGACGGGAAGAGCCAAAGGTTATGCTGAGAACCAACTTGAAAGGAGACGATGAGTCACCAAGTGGGAAATTATTAGCTACCACTCCGTAATTTGCTTCTGTGCTGCATTTGAGAGTCGTTCCTCCTCCCTTCTCTTTCCCAGCTCTGAGCCTCTCCTGCTGGGGGTCAGGAGGTTTTCGTTTGATTTTAGATCATTGGCATCTTTTTAATTATGTTGGAGAGGACCCATAGTCCTTGGACTTACAACGGTTTGTTAGTGACTGTTCAAAGTTACTGCAGCACTGAAAAAAAAACGGCTCATAGCTGTTTTTCACACAGCTGTTGCAGCATGGTCACATAATCAAAATTAGGGCGCCTGGCAACTGACTCATACTTATGACGGTTGCAATGTCCTGGGGTCAAGGAATCACCTTTTGCGAACTTCTGACAAGCAAAGTCAATGGGAAAGCCAGAATCACTTAACAAGGGTATTACTAACTTAACAGCTGCAGGGATCCACTTAACGGTGGCAAGAGAGGTGGTAAAATAGGGTAAAATTCACTTAACTGTCTCGTTTAGCAACAAAAATGTTGGGCTCGATTGTGGTCGTAAGCCGAGGACTACCTTGTAATTGGGATCTTCACCCATCTTATTGTTGTAAAAGGAGAAATATATTTTTGAATAACAAGAGGATTGCCCGTTTCCACAGCTATTCATTTCCAAAGTTCACCTGGTTGGGAGATACACAGGAGGTTTTTTTCCCTCCCCTTTTAAAACAAAGTCCAGATAGGAACTGCAATTGTGCAATTGTAGTTCCATTTCTTTTTCTGCACACTTTAAAAGGCAGAACGCTCTGTATGCTTTCACAATGCAGTCATGGCTGCCATTTTGACTTTTTTTGAAGTTGCAAAAACAGGAACTCTGTGGGCTATTCAGGAGGAGAAGGGCGTGATAAAAAGGAATCGAGATAGTAGTTGCAACTGTGCAACCAAATTTTCACTGCCTTTAATTGCAACACTCCAGAAAAGGAGTAAGGCTTCAGTCTTGTGGTTGTGGCAGGGGTGAAATGCTATTGGTTTGGGCTGGTTCGCCTGAACCGGTAGTAAAAAATGCTACTGGTTCACTGAACCGGTAGTAAAAAAATGTTTGAAAAAGAAAAAGTTCCAACGATCACGCGCCACATAGCTGATCTTGGGAACTTTTTTGTTTTTTAGTTTTTAAGCATTTTTTTTACTATTGGTTCTCTGGAACCAGTAGTTAAAAATGCTTTAAAAAGTAAAAAAAAAAGTTCTAACGATCGCCTGTGCGACGCATGATCATCAGAATTTTTTAGAAGAAAATTTAAGCATTTTTTTTACTACCAGTTCTCCGGAACCGATAGTAAAAAAATGCTTTAAAAGGTTTTTAAAAAGTTTCGAAGATCAGCTGTTCAACAATCAGCTGTGCCGCACGATTTATCTTTGCTAGAAAGCAGGAAATCCTGCTTTCTAGCGAATCTAAATCGCGTGGCACAGCTGTCACCCCCCCCAGCTCTTCTACTTACCTTTGCAGACTCAGAAAGGTTTCTTAGCGCCTACGGTGCACATCCACGCAAAGCGTGAGTTTGGCGCGCATGCAAGCAAAGTGCGCACGCGAAGCAAACCAGTTGCAGACTTCAGAGCCTTTCACCCCTGGTTTGTGGGTGCCATCTTGACTTTTCCTCCCCGCTTTAGATGCCTCTGAAGCCATGCTGAAAATGTTAGTCCCAATGGCCTAGCTTCCTGCTGCTCTGATTGACCTGCCTTCCCTGTTCTGGAAGTGGTTTTATTTTATTTATTTAATTGTTACAAGTGCTCTTACGTATCCTTGGCTTTGTTGAGTCTACACAAACGTTATCTCATTTCTGAGAATGGCTGCAATAAGCATCGAGCGAGCATCCTGTGCACTGGTTCCCAAGGGTTCAATGAGTTGAAAGTGGCGGTGTATTTGGTGTGTCATACTCCCAGTGCATGCCATGTGGGCAGACGGGAGGCCTAACAGGTAAGGTGAGCTCTTTAAATATGAACAGTGTAGGCTCTGCAAATTACACATCCACAAAGACACGAAAACATCTACCTTTCCGTGATGTAATATCAATGTGGTAGGATTGCATCGGAGAAAGCATCAGCATGGTGGATGTTGTGACCTAAGCCCAAGTAGGTATTATCAGACGCAGTCAGCTCTAAACAAACAGATTTTATTAGAACAGCTGAGAATTAACTCATTCTCAGCGTAGTCCAAATTAAATTAAAGCAAATTCTTCAAAACACCATTCCTCAGTTTATCACCGACTTTGGGATTATTAGGCAAACTGCCAAAGGCTTTTCTTGGCAAAAGGTCAGAAGCAGAAGACGCCGACAAGAAATGAATACAGTGAAACAAGAAGCAATTCTCTCAATGTTGTTTTCCGGCAAAGAGGCCAAGAGCGGTTGCTGATCTTTTAAGCCTTATGGGAGGGGCCAATCATCTCTTGGCCTTACTCCCGAGTTGTCCTCTCTGCTTTAGCTGCTCCTGCCTTCTGGCAGCTCTGCATATGCGTGCACTGGGAATAGGCTCCTCCTGTTCCTCTGCCTCTCCGGAGCCTCCAGAGGCTGACAACAGAGTCCGCACATCACTCCCAGATGGCCCTGGCTCCATCTCTGCCTCCGACGCAGAGCCCTCATCCGGGCCTTCCCCAGCCTCCAAGACTGGCCCATGTTCTTCCTCAGCCTCCTCGCTGTCTGACTCCGCTGCCAGCTCTGCAGGCTGCTGGTGGACCACAACAGTGGAATCCTATTTGCACTTGTGATACAGGTAGTCCTTGACTTACAATGATGCATTTAATGACTTTTCAAAGTCTTTCAAACAGAACTGGAAAAAAGTGACTTATGACTCTAACCCCAAAGTCAAAGTGTGATCAAAGTCCCGGGAGTTTGGCCACCAGCATATATTTATGATGGTTGCAGCACCCTGGATTCAGGTGATCATCATCTGTAACCTTCCCAGCTGGCTTCTGACAATCAGAGCCATTGAGAGAAGCCAGAGTCACTTACTTACTATGTGATTCTCTTAACAGCTGCAGTGATTGGCTTAACAACTGCAGTTAACAACGATCGGCTGAAGAACCATGGCCAAAAGGACGTAAAATTGGGAATGACTCTATTATAAACAATCTCCTTGTTTAGCAATGGAAATAGCAATAGCAATAGCACTTAGACTTATATACTGCTTCACAGTTCTTTACAGCCTTCTCTAAGCGGTTTACAGAGTCAGCCTATTGCCCCCAACAATCTGGGTGCTCATTTTACCGGCCTCGGAAGGATGGAAGGCTGAGTCAACCTTGAGCCTGGTGAGATTCAAACTGCCAAATTGCAGGAAGCCTGCAGTACTGCACTCTAACCACTGCTCCACCTCTTCTTATCCAATAGTCGTCATCAGTTGAGGATTAGAGGTCTTCAAACTTGGCAGCTTTAAGATTTGTGGACTTCAACTCTCAGAATTCTCCAGACAGTTATACATGGCTTAGGACCGGGGTACTTACAAGACCGCCTTCTGCCACCAGTACCCTCTCACTGGCCAGTACGCTCCCATAGAGAGGGGCTCCTCAGGGTGCCGTCGGTCAAACAGTGTTGACTGGCGGCCCCCAGGGGGAGAGCCTTCTCTGTGGGGGCACCTGCCATTTGGAACGAGCTCCCCCGGGAGATATGGAAGATCCCGGATTTGCGCACTTTCCGCCGTGCCCTCAAGAGCTTCTTATTTCAACAGGCTGGCCTGGCCTAACCTCCTTTTAACTGTTAATTTTAAATTTGTTTTAAAATAATAGGGGTGTTTTAATTTGTTTGGGCCAAATTTTTAATGTGTTTTTATATTGTTTTTAAAAATTGTATTATGTGTATTTTATCTTTTGGCTGTTCACTGCCCTGAGTCCTTCGGGAGTAGGGCGGTATATAAATCCAATTATAAAATAAAAAAATAAAAATAAAATAAATGCTGGCTGGAGAATTCTGGGAGTTGAAGTCCACAAGTCTTAAAGCTGCCAAGTTTGAAGACATCTGACCTATACATATCTTAAGGATACTTATTTGAAAAGGGAAAAAAAAGCCACTACTGCTTGTAGTAAAAGCATTCTGCCAGGTAATCTACTACCTTAGACTGAGCACAGGCAGTTCTGAAATCTAGGCTTTCATACAGGGAAAAAAAAAAATCCAGATTCAGAGTGACAGAAGAGTGATGCAATTTTTTCCTGGTTCTTTTTCTGCTTGGATTTTTTTAAAAAAGAGTTTCAGAACAAGAAAACATTTTGTGAGCATCTGTCACTAATTTATGTAACAGCATGAATAGAACTAAAGAGCATACGCTAGAGGCATTTAAAATGCAAATCCCCCCCCCACTTTAAGCTCTTTTAAATAAACTTTCCCTATTTTGCAGGCATTGCTTTTTTTTTTTTAATGAACTTTTCTGCTGAAGTCTAAAGGAAGTCAAAAATGTTGAAATCAGGGGTGGGTTCTACTTACCTTTACTACCAGTTTACAATGGAATTGCGTGCACACGCTCGCTTCTGTGCATGTACAGATCACCAATGACAACATCTGGGGCAGTGGGCGGGGCCTCCCGCCGGTTTTACTACCGGTTCTTGCAAACTGGTCCGAACCAGGGACAACCCATCACTGGTTGAAATCCATTTCTCCAGAATGAATCTGGAGTTCTTGCACATCCAAAATAGAAAGTTATTTTCTAATGGAACCAGCATTGTATTCTTACTAAATCTCACATGAAAAAAACCACAGAAACTCAATTATTCTGCTTGGCTATGATTGGGAAAAAGCTTGCTAACACAGATAGTCCTTGACTTACAATCATTTGTTTAGTGACCATTTGAAGTTACAACGGCACTGAAAAAATGTGTCTTATGATTGTTTTTCACACAACTGTTGCAGCAGTCACATGATCAAAATTTGGATGCTTGGCAACCGGCTCATATTTATGACGGTTGCGGTGTCCCACGAACTTCGGACAAGGATAATCAACAGGGAAGCCAGATTCACTTAACAACCATGTTATTCATTTAACAACTGCTGCGATTCACTTAACAGCCGTGGGAAGAAAGGTCACGAAATGAGGCAAAATTTGTTCTGCCCCAGCTACGGACCCAAAGAACGCAGCACACGCAAAGTCTGTACAAACCTTAGTTTACTAAATTAAATCAGTCTTTTTCAAACAAATGCTTTTAATTAACTTTCTTAACAGCCTACAAGAATCCAAAGAATAAATAATCGTAATCTTACTAGGATTGGCAGAAAGCCCAGAAGCAATTTTCAGGACACTGATAAAAGAACTAAGATCCAGACGCGAAGGAGAGTGAACTAAGTTGTTCCCTGCAAATTGCCTTAGTCGTCGTCCATCCTTAAATAGGCTAAGGGAGTGGCCAATTAGCCCCAAGCCCTACTCTCGAGGAGACCTCCTCCTGAGGAGCCACTCCTGCCTTTTGGCAGCTCTGCGCGCCCGTGCATCGAGAAGAGGCTCCTCCTCTTCTTCCTCTTCCATGGAAGCTTCTGGAGGTTCTGAAGGCCCTGGCTGAATCCCCGCCACTGGCACCACATCTTCTCCAGCCTCGTCATTGTCTGACTCGAGTGCCAGCTGCACAGGCTGCTGGCGCAGCACCACACCAGCCTCCTCGCTGTCGGAATCAGCTACTAGCTGCACAGGCCGCTGACGGGCCACAACAAATTTCATTTAACAACTGTCTTACTTAGCAACAGAAAGTTTGGGCTCAATTGTGATGATACGTTGAGGACTACCTGTATTTGGGCTGTGGGGCTGCACACAATTTGAAGTTGTAGAACAAAACATGAGGTTGATAAGAGACGTTTTCTCTTAAAAATGTCAATGCTACTTTCAGTGCAAAGCACAAAAATAAAACGGAATGAGTAAGAAATGAGAAACCGATAGACTACTTCGTCTTACCATGTTTCACACGTGGTTAATATCCCAAGGATCATGTCCCCCAATTTTCTTCTCTGAAGCAAAATCTCCTTTTCTTACCTGTAAGAACCATAATAGGCTAATAATTCAGACTCCCCACCTCCCCGGTAACAAATCCTAAACCCAGCACCTTTCAAGACATGACATAAGGAACCTAGGGGCACAATTAAAGCTAGGAATAAAAGCGTTCTTGAAATTTCCCATCAAACTTGAAGATAAGGAAATTGGTTGGATGATTTCACTGAAATTCTCCAGGAAAGAGAGAAATTTCTTGAGGAGAATTTTCCCCTCATGAGGAAGCACAACACTGCCACAGAAAACACTCCACCCAAGGCCTTCGCTCCTGATGTCCCTTCAGATGAAATGGGATCTTCCTTCACCACCATCACCACCATCATCCACGGCAGGCTGCCTTGGAGACAATAGATTGTTCTTTGCAAAGACCTGGAATGTGCAGGAGAATTATTATTATTATTATTGTGCCATATCTGTCATCGGATGTTGGCGATCATGTTGGCGATCTTATTTTTATCAACAGCTGCACGAAAAAGAGCTGCTAAGTTTTGTCCAAGCCAGTCCCTTAGATTTTGAAGCCATGATGTTCTTCTTCTGCCTGGACCTCATTTGCCTTCAATCTTTCCCTGTGAAAGTGAAGGATGCTGTATTTTTCCGGGTGTCGCATCACATGTCCAAAATATTCTAACTTTCCCTTTTTTAGTGTTTTCATGATTTCCTTTGGCTTTCCCAGGTGGCTTATCACCTCCTCATTTCTTTTCTTTTTTTTAAAGTCAAGTTTTTTATTTATATATAAGTATTTTGACTACAGTGTAATATCCGGGCATTTCATTTTACAAAAGAAAAAAGAAAAATAACAGATATACTGATAGTCAATGATAACACACATAGTAATTGTAACCATATTTATAATTATATTAGCGTATTTATGATCATATTAATTATACTAGCATACTTATCATTATGAACAACATTCATATTTTACTTCTATATAACAATGATCTTCCTTCATCGAATTCCTACCTATCTCTAACCATCGATAAAACCATTTAAAAATCATTTCTTAATTTGTCAACCCAGCTGCCTGTAAATCCACATTTCAAATGCTCCTAGTCTCTTCAAGTGGTTTTCTGTCAGAGACCAACTCTCTACTCCGTAGAGCAGGATAGAAAAGATGTAACATCTGACAAGCCTGGTTTTCAGTCTTAGCCTGATGTTGTGACTGCAGAAGACCTTTTTTCATTCTGAAGAATGCTGTTCAAGCTTTCTCTATCATTGTTTTTACTTCAGTGGTCATGTCCCAGCTTTCATGTAGCATTACTGCAGGGGTGAAATGCTCCCGGTCCTGGCCCAAGATCATCATAAGTTTTCTTGACTCCAGGAGCTGCATAAACAGAACTGCAGAAGTCGCAGAGGCCGGGGTGTGGCGAGCGTCTTGCTTCAGCCTGTTGAGATGCAGCTGAAAATAAATAAATAAATGAGCTGCCAGACCAGTAAAACTGCTCTGACGCCAAGAAGGAATGGTTGCAGGAAGTAGCTTATCAGAAGGAAGCCTTGCTTCAGAAGGATGGAGGGGTTCCAGGTGAGTGGCTCATCGATCTGGCAGCAGGCGCTCCTCTGGGGGAGAGATTGAGGATTACTCACATCCAAAGGTGTTTATTCTCCCGTGGGCTACATGGGAACGGAGATGCCAGGTTAATTTCTCTACCTGGTGGAAAGGAATTGTCCAGCGTTGCCAGCAAGGGAAATTTGAAGACTTCTAGAGAGCAACCTAGTCCATCTCAAGGGAAATTATTTGTGTCTGGCTAATCTCATTATACTATTAATGAAGGACCTTTTCATTTACTGGGCCTTGTGCTCTCTAGCAGGTAAGCAATCTTCTTAAGTTTTTTTTTCTTTTCATAAATGCCTTTTTTTTAAAAAAAAAAATCCTGTTTCTGGGTTTTTGAGGAACTGCAGAGCAGAGCAGGATAACCTGAACAAGTGGGTTCAAGCAGGAAAGTGGAATGTCTTTCAATATAAAAATGATATCTTGCTTGAGCAAGGTGTTGGACTTCACTAAGAGACCTCCAAGGTCCCCCCTTCCAATTCTGTTATTCTGTTAAAGTACTATATGAGAAAATAGAAGGAGGGATGGGAAATTAAATGCCTTTCTCGTGCGCAGCTGATGAAGAGATGGAATAGAAGTACAATAAGTATATTGTTTTGTAATCTGCTGTATTTTACTATTTGTACCTCTACTGTATTGGTTAGCCACCTAGAGAGGTTTTATATTCTCTGGTTGACGGTATAATTTTTTTTTTTTGAACAGATAAAAATCAAAAGTCTCTTGAAACGATCTGAAGCTTATTGTGTTTGTTTTGACCATGGATGTAATTGAATTTATTTCCAGCCCTTGTGGAAACAGACAGCGCCTCTGTTCTGTGAAGTACCAAAACATCACAGTCTTATGGAGCAATTGTCCTTGGCTTGAACTCAATAGGCACAATGCCCAATTAAATTGGGGGAGGGGGAATGCAGTGGGAAATAAATATTTCTTGGCAGACCACATCATAAAGTTAATCTAACAGATGTAGAAAGTTCTGAAGTCTACAAATTTATTCCGGGAGCTTTTGATTTGAGTCTCAGTGTGATCTTCATCTTCCTAGGTGTCTTCGGGCAAACCCTTCACCCTATGTTTACATTATTATTAATTTAATTTGTATACCGCTCTTCTCCCAAGGGGATTCAGGGCGGTGAACAGCCAAAATTAAAATACATACAATACAAAAGTTAAGATAATTAAAAAAGATTAAGTCAATCAGCCTCCCATTTTAAAACCCCAAGTCTATAAAATTTTAAAAATCCCATTAAAAACCCTTTAGGCTAGGCCGGCTTGCTGGAATAAATAAGTCTTCAGGGCCTTACGGAAGGTACGGAGGTCTGGGATCAGTCTTATTCCAGGAGGTAGCTCATTCCGCAGGGCGGGTGCCCCCACAGAGAAGGCTCTCCCCCTGGGGGCCACCAGCCAACATTGCTTAACCTTGCTTGACATTGCTTGACATTGCACCCCGAGGAGGCCCTCTCTGTGAGAGCGTATTGGCCAGTGGGAGGTTATCGGTAGCAGCAGGTGGTCTTGTAAGTACCCGGCCCTAAGCCATGGAGCGCTTTAAAGATGAGAACCAACACCTTAAAGCGCACCCGGAAGACCACCGGGAGCCAGTGCAGCTCGCGCAGGAGAGGTGTTACATGGGAGCGCCACGTCGCTCCCATAATCACCCGTGCGGCCGCATTCTGGACCAGTTGGAGCCTCCGGGTACTCCTCAAGGGGAGCCCCATGTAGAGAGCGTTGCAGGATAATAATCTCAGTTTCAGTGGCTTGTAAAGGTTACTAAAGTATGTGTTTGGAAAGACATAAAACACCTTCCCACCATTTGGCGTTCCCATACTAATTGGTGTGTTCACTATACTAGCTCAGAACTGCGACACTAAATCCAGCCTTCCTGTAGGATAGAAAGTTGAGGTGGGTTTCATTGATAGAGAGAGCAAGCACGAGATTGCAGGAAAAGAGCATCAAATCAGGAGTGAATTCATGCCAGAGATAAATATTAGCTTCTAGAATCACAGAATAAATTGCTAAGCATTGGAAAGCCACACTATACAGCTTGGGAATTTCCCCCTTGCTTAACTGTTTTCATTTTCTACTGAAGCAAACATGACAATTATACTGAAAGGAGTCCTGTGGTCATATTTTGACTCAGTTATGAAACTCACCAGGTGACCCTGACCCAGGAAATAATTTATTGGGAGTAAATAATTGTTAGAGTTCCCCCAGGAGCTCAGATAAATAGAGCTTTCTTCTCCATGTTTATATGCAGAACAACCAGCTGCTGAGAAATGGGAATTGCCCAAAATCACCTAGGGACAGTGGTGAAATGTAAAATTTGTTACTACCAGTTGGGGGGGAGGGGGGTAATATGACTGAGTGGGCGTGGGCAACTTTTTTTTTTTTTTACTTTTAAAACCATTTTTTCTACAATCTCTTTGGCTGAAGAAGTTGTAAAAAAAAATGCTTTTAAAGCCTCTGACGATCCCAGCTGACTTGCCTGATCGGCAGAGGCTTTTTTTCCTTTTAAAAACATTTCTTCTATAACTTCTTGGGCCAAAGAGGTTGTAGAAAAAATGCTTTTAAAAGCCTCTGATGATCCCAGCTGAGCCACCGATCATCAGAGGCTTTTTTTAAAAAAAACTTTTAAAAGCATTTTTTCTGTCAAAGAGGTTGTAGAAAAAAATGTTTTTAAAAATATAAAAAAAGCCTCTGATGATTGCGCAGCTCAGCTGGGCAATGGGAGGGGGCAGGGAGTTTTGCTACTGGTTCTCTGAACCACCCACCTCCATCGCTACCGGATCAGGTGATCCGGTCCGAACTGGGAGCATTTCACCCCTGCCTAGGGAGAATCTAGAGCTGAGTTTCCCATGTAGTGGGAAATAGTATTTAAGTACGGATAGACCTCAGGTACAGATAGAACTCAGGTAATGACTACAATTGAGCCCAGGATTTCCACTGCTTAGCGGGATAATTGTTCAGTGAGTTTTGCCCCTTTTCTTACACCCTTCCTTGCCACAGTTGTTAAGTGAATCAATGCAGTTGTTAAATTAGTAACACGGTTGTTAAGCATATCTGGCTTCCCCATTGACTTGGCTTGTCAGCAGGTCGCAAAAGGGGATCACATGATCCTGGGACATTGCAACCATCATCAATACATGCCCGTTGCCAAGCTTTTGAAGTTTGATCACGTGACCACAGGGATGCTGCAATAGTTGTAAGTGTGAAAAATGGTCATAAGTCACTTTTTTCAGTGCATATGACAGTGGCCCCATTGTTCCAGGTTCATGGGTTCACCAACCTTCCTAGCTGGCTACCAACAAGCAAAGTGGATCCAGTTCACTTAACAACCACATGATTCACTTAACAACTGCAGTGATTCGTTTAAAAACTGTGGCAAAAGGTCATAAAGTAAGACAACTGTCTTGCTTAGCAACAGAAATGTTGGGCTCCATTGTGGTCATAAGTCAAGGGCTACCTCTATCTTTGCATTCCCCCCTGCAGTATGAATGTAGTTTAGAATAGAATAGAATAGAATAGAATAGAATAGAATAGAATAGAATATTTTTATTGGCCAAGTGTGATTGGACACACAAGGAATTTTTCTTGGTGCATATGCTCTCAATGTACCTAAAAGAAAAGATACGTTCGTCAAGAATCATAAGGTACAACTCTTAATGATAGTCGTAGGGTACAAATGATACAAGCAACAAAATTACAGTCATACAGTCATAACTGGAAGGAGATGGGTGGTGGGAACGATGAGAAGATTAATAGTAGTGCAGACTTAATGAATAGTTTGACAGTGTTGAGGGAATTATTTGTTTAGCAGAGTGATGGCATTCGGGGAAAAACTGTTCTTATGTCTAGTTGTTCTGGTGTGCAGTGCTCTATAGCATCGTTTTAAGAGTAGGAGTTGAAACAGTTTATGTCCAGGATGCGAGGGGTGTGTAAATATTTTCACAGCCCTCTTTTTGAGTCCTGTAGTATACAGGTCCTCAATGGAAGGCAGGTTGGTAGCCATTGTTTTTTCTGCAGTTCTAATGATCCTCTGAAGTCTCTGTCTGTCTTGTTGGGTTGCAGAACCAAACCAGACAGTTATGGAGGTGCAGATGACGGACTCAATAATTCCTCTGTAGAACTGGATCAGCAGCTCCTTGGGCAGTTTGAGTTTTCTTTTCATTAATTCTTTTATGGAGAAGTAAGTCAGAATGGCCTCTTCCCATATGGGTTGGGATGAAGGATTGAAGGTCACTATACATCTTAGGTAATTTAAACATGATACAGTCCAGTTCTTGTATTCCATTCTAGGTAGATTTGGCACAAATCCCAATCTTGTTTGTTCAGTTTTACAATTGAAAGGGTAGCGATCCAGTTTTTACGCAATGCACTATTTGTTTGTTGTTCACTGTCTTGGTGACTGTAAAAACCTGAGAGCAACAAGTGACTGAAGTTGTCTTCTACTGCCAGAGATCTTCCAAGATTGTTATCCCAGGAATGCTGGGGGTTCTTAGCCCGATGTATGGTACTCTGCCCAATTGAGTTGCACCACACAGATCTTTGCAAAGCTTTATTTTGCAATTGTTCTTTTGGAAAGAATAATGGATTCTCGGGAATAGTTTCCAAATCAAGCATGTTGCCTATTTCAATCTGAGTGCCTTTTGTACAGTTCTTAGTCTCTTTAAAGGCATAGGTAAAGAAAGGTAAAGGTTCCCCTTGCACATATGTGCTAGTCGTTCCTGACTCTAGGGGGCAGTGCTCATCTCTGTTTCAAAGCTGAAGAGCCAGCGCTGTCCGAAGATGTCTCCGTGGTCATGTGGCCAGCATGACTAAATGCCAAAGGTGCACTGAATGCTGTTACCTTCCCACCAAAGGTGGTCCCTATTTTTCTACTTGCATTTTTTACATGCTTTTGAACTGCTAGGTTGGCAGAAGCTGGGACAGGTCACGGGAGCTCATCCCCTTATGCGGCACTAGGGATTCAAACTGCTGAACTGCCGACCTTTCAATCAACAAGCTCAGCGTCTTAGCCACTGAGCCACTGCGTCAACCCTTTAAAGGCATATATAGTCATAAATCTTTGGATCTCAGATCTTTTACTTCCTTTTTGCCCCATCATCGGGCTTCATAGGGATCTGCAATTACCTTGTTTTCTGTCTACCTCTATCCCATGGAAATTGTCCCATTATCCTGACAGTTTTCTCACATTTCATGTTAACAATTTCCTTGTGATTTTTATTTTCATGTATGTTTACTACCTACCACCTTTTATAACTCTAATCTACAGTTTTTTGCTGTTTTCCTGAGAAAGCTGTGCTCCCCTCCTCACTATCTTTCTGATAATCTGACTGTATCAAATTTAAGAAACTATTCTGTCTTACATGTAACTAAATAGGCTGTTTTATCAAAACGACCTCAGATTATTTTCAGAAGTCACGACGCCCCTCAAACCCCCATCCTAGTAGATGTTTTGTTCTTGGCACTCAGGAAAGGGTTGAGGCTAAAAGCCATGCAAAGAGTTCTAGAAATGGGAATCAAGCCAACACACACTTAACCTGGTTATACAATTCACCCATGTTCTGGTTTATACATTATTAACAGTCATATGCTAACCACGATGTAAAAAAGATGTGGAGAATCTAGAAAGAGTGCAGAGAAGAGCAACAAAGATGATTAGGGGACTGGAGGCTAAAACATATGAAGAACGGTTGCAGGAACTGGCTATGTCTAGTTTAATGAAAAGAAGGACCAGGGGAGACATGATAGCAGTCTTCCAATATCTCAGGGGCTGCCACAAAGAAGAGGGAGCCAAGCTCTTCTCCAAAGCACCTGAGGGCAGGACAAGAAGCAATGGGTGGAAACTAATCAAGGAGAGAAGCAACTTAGAACTAAGGAGAAATTTCCTGACAGAACAATTAATAAGTAGAACAACTTGCCTGCAGAAGTTGTGAATGCTCCAACACTGGAAGTTTTTAAGAAGCTGTTGGATAACCGTTTGTCTGAAGTGGTGTAGGGTTTCCTGCCTAAGCAGGGGGTTGGACTAGAAGACCTCCAAGGTCCCTTCCAACTCTGTTATTCTATTCTAACCAAATGAGCTGTTTTCCCTACATGCTAAGCTACAGTAGTGCTAATGAGGTTAACCTTAAAGAAGCCTTGTGCCAAAGGGAGCAGGAGAGGGGGGGGAGCCTGCTCAGTAATGTTTTCAGTCTCTTTGATTAATGTTGCTTCTCATCCAAAAGTTCTGAACTGAAGAAACTTCTTGGATGAGAAACAAAATGTTTTTAAGGGAGGGGGGGAAAAACCCCCAAGAAAGTCCAGTTGCCTTTGGACAGCCATGACTTGGATGACTGAGAATCTCTGTAGATGAGAAGGGACAGAATTTAGAGGATGTGAAATCTCTCCTGGAGTGAGTCTTAGCAGATGACCAAATATGACGGGCCCAGGCACCCATTCTCAGATTATTAGGCCAACTCACTGGCAAGCTAAAGCCCTATGGCACAATTAGAAAAATGATTGGTTTGCTCCAGGGGTGAAATGCTTCCGGTTCGGACCGGATCACCGGTAGCAAAAATCCCTGCGCTCCCCCCCCCCCATCCCCAGCTGAACCGTGCGATCATCAGAGGCTTTTTTTTTTACTTTTAAAAGCTTTTTTTCTACAACCTCTTCGGCTGAAAAAATGCTTTTAAAAGTTAAAAAAAAAAAGCCTCTGATGATCGCACGACTCAGCTGGGATCGTCAGAGGCTTTTCAAAGCATTTTTTTCTACAACCTCTTAAGGTTGTGGAAAAAGTGCTTTTAAAAGTAAAAAAAAAAAGTTGGCCACGGCTACCCAGTCACATTAAACCCCACCACCACCAAGTCACGCCCACAGAACTGGTAGTAACAAATTTTAGATTTCACCCCTGGTTTGCTCCTCAGGTTATATGGTTAAGAATTAGGCCTGGGAGACTGAGCTGTTTGACTTTCTTGGAGTCCCCTAGCATTAGAAAATGCATCTTCTAACACAGAGGCTCCCTTCACACAGCCTGCTTAACTGGGCTAAAGAGCTGGACCTTTTGAAAGTATTTGCACTATATGCTGAACCGTAACCTTACCAAATGGGTCTAATATATTCCACCAAAGCACACAAACAATTTATACTCAGTTATACCGTGTTTCCCAAAAAATAAAACCCTCTTTTATATTTTTTTGAACTCCAAAATAAGTACTTGGCCTTATTTTTGGGGAGATCTTATTATTTTGGGGTGCGTGGAGCAAGACTGGGATCCTCTTGCCGTCTTACCTGATTTCCAGCTCTGTCTCCCTAATCCTAACCAGAGGAAATGACGAGGACCAGCTGCACATGCATTTAAATATTTTCGGGGAGGGTTTATTTTAGGGGGAGGGCTTATTATCAGGGGATGTCTTATTTTTGGGAAAACACAGTAATTCTTCTGGGATATCTGGCTGAGGAACTCTGGGAGTTGAAGTCCTCAAGTCTTAAAGTGGCCAAGCTTGGAGACCCCTGTCCTAAGACATGCCTCTTTTCTTCTGTGTTTTCTTGTTACGAACTCTGAGGCCCATTGCTGTAGATTTCAGAAAAGAAAAAGTGGTGGCTTTAATGGATGCAAAGAATTATAACAGAATTTTTTACCGAAGCTGATCTTGAATACTTGTTCGTGCTTCCTCGCAGGAAATTCACTGGGAGAAAGATCACCAGTCATTCAAGAAACAACTTTTCGGTCCACGAACTTTGAAAATATCTTCACATGGAAGATTAAAGGAGAGACACCCCCAGGCACGCTCTACGATGTTCGGTATAAGACGTAAGGATGTTTTGCCTTTTCATAAAAGTCAGTGGATTGGATTGTATGAGCCGAATCCATGGATATTTTTTTTTTTAATTTGATTTATATGCCGCCCTTCTCCGGAGACTCAGGGCGGCTTACAATGTGCTCAGCAATAGCCTTCATCCTTTTGTATATTTTATACAAAGTCAGCTTATTGCCCCCACAACTGGGTCCTCAATTTACCTACCTTAGAAAGGATGGAAGGCTGAGTCAACCTTGAGCCTTGGCGAGATTCGAACCCTGCAGTAATTGCAGGTCTTAATAACCAGCTTAATAACAGGGTGCCTTAAACCCCTGTACTACCAAGGCTCTGGTCAAATAGAGTACATGGAGTCCTTGACTAACAGCCACAATTGAGTCCAAATTTTTGTTGCTAAGTGAGACATTTGTTAAGTGAATTTTGCACCATTTTATGACCTTTCTTGCCACAGTTGTTAAATGAATCACTCCCTTTGTTAAATTAGGAACATGCAGGGGTGGGCTCCTGGGGGTTTGGCAGGGTTTGGGCAATCCTCTAGCCAAGGATTGCTGGGGTTTGGTGAACCCCCAAATGCCACCCTGGCTGGCTACGCCCGCCCCGCCCTGCCCCTCCTGCCCCGCTCCTCCCAGGAGTCTTCACGCAACCCATTCATCATTCCAGGTAAGTGCAGGGGCCATGTGAAGGATCTGGGAGGGCAAAAAATGGGCCTAGTAGAGGTTCGGGAAGTCCAGAAATGGGCCTGTTTCTGGCCTCTGGAGGGCCTCCAGACCCCAGGGGAAGCAGTTTTCGCCCTCCTGGAGGCTCGAGGAAAGCCTTCGGAGCCTGGGGAGGGCAACCCCCCCTCCCCCACCGTGATGCAGGCGGATGACTAGGCCATGCCCACCATGGTCACACCCACCCAACAATGGGGCAGCGAACCCGTTGCTAAAGGATCTGAAACCCACCCCTGGTAACACGGTTGTTACATGAATCCTGTTTTCCCTTTTTTCAATGCAATCTGTAACTTTGAACGGTTATTAAGCAAACTTTGTAACTTGAGGACTGCTGGTAAATAATGGTAATTGTTGTGTCGACAGAGGAGGAAGCGTTAAGTTGTGTGCAGATTCAAGAGGAAATTTTTAAAATGAAACTCAATCCCTGCCCTTCAGTATCAACTTTACTGCATCATACAGGATTATAAAATGTAAAGTCATATGTTAATAGCTACCAATGAACATACAATATTGCATTATAAGTGGATTTTTTTTTAAGAGAAGAAGAATGCATTAATGTAAATAATCAGATAGGAAAGGCAGGAAATTTGAACAACATATTAAAAACCCCTTTTCTTACCTTCGTATTAAAAAAGAAAAGTCAAAATTTCCCCAAACACATATCAAAATCCATTGCTAAAAATCAGTAGGCAATGGCCTTAAAATGTTTCTAATGATTAACCTTCTTCTTTTCCACAGACACCGTGACTTGCAACACATTCAGTTTTTGAATTATGCCAACTACCCCTATGGTGTCCTGCTTTGACCTACAATTCACTAAATTATAAACTGAATTATGTGGAGTTCATACAACACACTAAAATCCATGTATGTGCACACATAGAGAATTAAAACTAGCCCAGTTTAGAATGCTGTGCAAATGCGATGAGAAATTTGTAGCTGCCTTCGCTGAGCCTATTATCGGGTCCCAGTCAGGGGCTTCACCAGTTCCAACATGATGGAGAAACCCCTAAGGAACGCATGCACCCAATTTGACCTCGGTTCTGAATTCAAATCCAAACTTATGAAGAGTGGATCAAAGACACCCATTAAAGTTTTAACTCTAAAAAACAAAGAGAATATAGTCAACCCAGATATTTTCCAGCAAAAGTGAAGTAGTTAAATCGTTAGTCTCCTTTTGAAATCAAAAGAAGCTTTATATAGACTAGAAGACTGCCAAAGTCCCTTCCAACTCTGTTAGTCTATTACTCTTTATTCTATTGATCCGCTATTCTGTTTGATAGGTTCTAAAACACCAATTCTTGCTTAAATAATTATCATAAATAATCTGTACTTGTGCTGAAAGCAGCTGAAGTTATACTTTTCTTTGGCTTAGAATAAGGAGTTCTGTGATTTGAACTCTGGTTTGTTTGAGAAGCTCTAAGGGGATAACAGTATTGCTTGGGGAAGCTAATGTTGGTTTAAACCAGTGTTTCTCAACCTTGGAAGCTTGAAGATGGGTGGACCTCAACTCCCAGAATCCCCCAGCCAGCACTGCTGGTTGGGGGATTCTGGGAGTTGAAGTCCACCCATCTTCAAGCTTCCAAGGTTGAGAAACACTGGTTTAAAAGTAACCATGCCATCCACCTTATTCAATGAGTATACCAAATACTCTAAGTGTATCTACTTTATTTTAATTCCAGAGCAAATATGGTAGCTGTTTTCTTACCCTTCACAGCAACCATTGACCTTTGGGGCTAAGGGCCCACAGTTCTGCACTGTGATGAAAAGTTCAAATGTTGTTTGCCCTGTTGGGACTCTTCTCTAGATATGCTTTCTTTATTAACCCCATAAAGGAGAATATTTGTAGCTCAGGGTTGAAATGAGGGGGGAAATAATTTGAACCAAACCTTAAGTTATTCAAAATGTACTGCTCTCTAAATGGCACGGTGCAGTTCATCAATTAAACACTGCCCAAAATCCTTTGGCGTTGGATGGGTATTATAATTTTGAATAGATGATGATGATGATGGTGATACATTATCTTAGGGAAAGGGCTATACAAAGAATGTCTATATGTGGAGCCCTTGGTGCTGTTTGAGCTTGTTTGTTTGCAGCTGTTTCAATACCCAACATCACCAGTGTGGGTGAGTGTGGGTTTACACCCTATTTATATAGAGTAGCTTGCCCTGCCTGTTGATGGATGTGTGATATTGTCCTTTGGTAGTTCCTTGACTAGGGAACTGTTTTCTGTTTGTTTGTCTGGTGTTCATCCCTGCTTATCTGCTTATCAGGGTGCTGTTGCTGGAGAGGTTCAGTGTCATCAACATTATTGTAACATTTACACCTTTGGAATTCTGAACCAGAAAACATGATAGGATTGGAAGATTCTTAGCATGCTTTTTAGGAAAAGCTGCAACTTGTCTAGCACAGGGAAATAATATAGGCCAGAATTCTATGACTCACTGAGACATTTCCAGACCATAAGTCTGCCTCACTCGTTCCACAACGAAACCATAACCCACCAGTTCCCAACCTTAGCAACTTTAAAGATATGTTGACTTCAGCTGCCAGAATGCTGAATTAACAAAGCTATTATTTCATTATACCCAAAGATTGGGAGAAGCAGCATATTTACCTATTCATCCAAGATAGCTAGTGACTGACTGACTGACTGACTGACGACTGACTGACTGACTGACTGACAGATTGACAGACAGACAGACAGACAGACAGATGAATGCACAAAACTAACCAAGGAACTATTTTGATATGAATGTATGTGTGTTGTGTGAACTCAACCAAAAAATAAGTCTCATAACCTATCAAATTGATTAGATTTAATGTCTGCATGGGGTGCAAATTTAAAAATAGTTATGGTTTCTACCAGATGTGGTGGAGTGATGGTGACATTCATTGTGCCATGGGTCAAACCACCAGAAGGCTGCACCTTCTGTCCCATGGCTCAGTTTTGGTAAATTCAGGATTGGGAGTCACCTACCTTGGCCCATATCTACTTTGTCTTTTAATCATCTTGGATGCCGTCCATCAGTTCCTGGTCTACACCTGTATATCATGTGCAAAGCCTATTGTGAGTAATTGTCTGGTCCGCTCACAGGTATGGCCACAAGATCTGGCTGAGTAAACCTGAGTGCCAAAATATCACCCAGAACGTCTGCAATCTCACTCACGAGACTGAAAATTTCACCGAACGCTACGTTGCTCAAGTGAGAACTCTGGTCCCCAACGGTTGCATCTCCGACTGGTCCCCGTTCTTGAGATTCTGTCCTATTGAAGTCAGTAAGTGCTTCTCATGAATTGGGCTGGAAACTGGGAGAATTCTGGATCTCCAGCGTGTTTGTTCATGACATGTAGCCTGCTAAGAGTGTCATCTTTTCCTCAGAACCACTCAAACCCTCCGTGACGGGCGGAATTAGCATTTGTACCAAGTCAGTTTCCATTTGACAAGTAGCTGTTTATTGCTTCCGTTTTAACTTTTTATTATCCCTTGTGATACCTTTGTTTTATTGACCAAGCTAAGATGGTTTCTAATGCTTAAAAATTGCCAGCTGATTTGAGTTTCTTCTTCTTTCCAGTTGGATAAGCAAAGGTATCGATAAATATAGTAAACAATAAAAGAAGCTGAAATGGAAGTTTGTGTAAACAAGGGCAGGACTGTCCTTTGGCTATTGATATTTAAAGGAAGTAATTCATGGGTTTAAAAAAAGAGATTTATTTCATTCATTTTGCCTTTTTTTTTTGAGGAAGAATAATTTGAAAAAACAAACAAACACAGATATGAACTACAGGAAATAAGACTCCCAGACCTTGTTAAGGATTTCTGAAATGTTTTAAGATGCGCTAATCCTTCACTAATTTTCTTTGCTGTCTACCATAAAGGAGACCTGCTTTGGCCACAATGGATAAAAGAGAAGCACCTTGCCATGGCATTTAACATAATCAGTTATAAAGCCAGCAACTTATTCTCACAATAGGCTAAGTGTACTTAGTTTTTCTGTATTTAGCCTGCTGTGTGAACCCATGTCATTTAATTATAGTTCAATACATGGGGTGATTCCAGAGAGTGATAACTGGTTAAGTGGATTGTGTGAATGGAGTCATCTTCTGGGCTGGCCCAATGAACCACATACTTGGTAAACGGATTGGATTTGCTACTAAACTATGAAGACTTTTAAAAAACCATGATAAACCTTACATGCAAAGGGTAAAGTGACAAGGGGGGAAGCAACATTCTTTTGACTAGACAGAACCATTGTGAAAAGACAGAAAGGATGGCTTCCAATCTCAAAAAGGGAAAAGATAGACAGACAGACAGACAGTTGAGGGGTGGGTGGGCGGATGAGAGAGAGAGAGAGAGAGAGAGAGAGAGAGAGAGAGAGAGAGAGAGGGAATGATACATAGATGATAGGTATAGATAGATAGATGAGAGAGAGGATGATAGATAGATAGATAGATAGATAGATAGATAGATAGATAGATAGAT